ATGTAGAAATATATATATAATATATAACAACAGTTATTTTTAAGTGTTTTTTTTTTTATACATAACCTAACCTAAGTTATATTACAACATATATATAACAGATGTTATCATATTTATAAGTTTGCATAACTCTCCTTTAAAACGGTAGGTATGCATAGGCTCGAACAAATTATTGTTGGTATTATTAGTTAATGAATAATATTAATGGTAACATTAATTGTTAACCAATGGCTAATAAAAGATATGAAAATGTAATACAAGATTCCTTATAAAATTTTCTACATTTATCAAAAAAAAAATGTCTATAAGAAAGTCAAATTAAATTTTTATGAGTGTTTGAAATTCAAATTTTTACAACATTGGAGATTCAGTCGATTTCTCATATAGCGATTTCCTTATTTTGTTGTAATTCTAAAACGAATAACTGTAGATACATGAAAATTTCACTGAATGTTTATATTAGCATTTTCTAAACACTATACAATTTTGAAAATATTTTGACTCTTTTTGAGCTGTTTACGGACATTTTCAGTTTTCGATTTTTTTAGTTTTTTTTTCTATAAATATCAATAAAGTTTTATCTGTTGGGTCAAAAAGTATAAAAATTTAATACAAAGCTCCTGATATATTGTTACAATATCAGTTGAAAAATATTTCAAATACATATGCACAATTTCTTTTTATAAGCATTTAAAGATCGAATTTTGACAAAATTTATCAAATTCTCGAAAATTATCAATCATTGTAATTAATAAATTATAAAATGTTCGGTTTTTATAGCTAAGGACTGCAAATTTAAAACAGAAGTTCTCATGAATAGTTCATACTGTAACCAAAAAATCTAAAAAATATATGAACACAGTTATTTTTTACAGACATTTTAAATTCAAATTTGGACGAAATTATATATTAAAAAACCTAGAATAACTATTTTAGTTATTTTGTTGTGATTGTATAATATTATTCGTGGGTACTTGAAACTTCTAAAGTGTACTATTATATTTATATATCTATGATAGTATCACGGTTTGTTGTTGATGTATAACGCTTATAAGTACCTAATGGATATTGAGATATGATTAATTTGGAATTTATTATAGGTCAATTTTATTTTAATACGATATATATGTAATATGTATATAATATGTCTTAACCTAGACTGACATAGCGTCTCCACTCAGAATCGTTTTTCTTATACAATGATATTATATCATTGAATTCAAATTTAATACCATCCATTATACAGTGACCCACTTATAACCTACAGTACAGCAGAGCACCTTTTTTAAATTACAAATAATGTATAATCAATTAGGTATTGGTGTATTACTAATCAGTAATTGCATAATATTTTTTCAATGAAAATTATTTGCGGTGGCAAAATATCTAATCATACCTCATTATGTTTATTACATATAAAAGACATTGTTAAGCAATACAAATTCAAACATACAATATAGTGTAGTTTAATGATGTTTAAAAAAATTTAATTGAATCGTGCGTCGACTGCAATACGTAGAAATGAAACATATTGTACATACAACAAAATTGAAAATTTCTTACAAACCTTGGTTATAGTAGATAATATATGCTTTTGAAATTATAATAATTTGTGTATGAAACTTACTATTAATCAATTTAAGTGTATATACATATATATATATATATATATATATATATATATATGCATGTGCTACATCAGTTACAAATTAACAATGAATAATAATTAAGTGTTATCTGTAGTAACTCTTATGATTAACAGAGTATGGTTTAGTTACAAATTAGTAGGTAATCAGTATTGATACAATGATGAATCTTTTTGTTGTGTTTCTGTTACATATGCATTGATGAAGTCATTTCTAGTATAATGTTTCTGAAATAATACAAATGCATACAAATATCTGCTGATATATTTTTAGAGTACATAAATAATTCTAAATAATTTACCACCTAGTGTGCGAGTCGCAGTCAGTCTAAATGCATGTTTGACATTTGATACAAATACATTACAAAATCCGCATCAAGAGAGAAGCACGTAGAGGTTGTCGAATTTCCCCTATGTCTTAGTAGCAGTACAACAACGATTCTGTTTCTGTTACCTACATCTGCATTGATAGTCATTTTTAGTATAATGTTTCTGAAATAATACAAATGCATACAAATATCTGCTGATATATTTTTAGAGTACATAAATAATTCTAAATAATTTACCATCTAGTGTGCGAGTCGCAGCCAGGTTAAATGCATGTTCGACATCAGTTACGTATTCATTACAAAATCCGCATCCAGAGAGAACCACGTGGAGGTTGTCGAACTTTCTCTCCTCCGCGAGTCGTACTTACGACTGCTTATAAACCATGTGTCACACAGATCGGATTCGATGTTAATTAAGTTCTTGTAGACTTCATTGTACAGTTATATCGCTTGTAGAATTTCTCTGTACACAATGTTCTTAGTGACGAATCTACCACGGCCATCACTGTACATAGCAACTCTAATGGATTTTATGGATTGAGAGTCCCTCACTCGGGAAAACGCTGCATACAGTTGTCCTATAATAAAGTTTAAAAAAGTAGAATATAAATGATACCTATGTATTTATTAATATAATATATATAAATCATGTATAATACATTTTTGCATGCCAACGACATAATAAAAATGTTGACAAATATTACAATATTTTAAGCATAGTTTTACAAATTTGGAGGAATTTAAATTAAATTTATTATAATTTTATAACATATAATATGTATATGTAGTTCTTGTTTTGAAATTTGTTTGAAATATTGCAAAAAATTAATACGTGTAACCCAATCTAAAGGTTAGTACAGGTATAAGGTATGAATTGAAGTAATTAAACTTGGTAATACAATATTAGTATATTATAATCGAGGGGTAAACACCTTGGGGGTAATCATGGGTAATCATAGGTAATCTTTGTAGTAAGTCATGGGAAATCATAGGTATAATCATTTAAATCAGTAATCTGGTGTACAAACTTTCTGTAATTACCCCTCGTATATAATATAATAATATTACATAACATGTATGTTTTAAAAAATTGAAATGTATTGAATTTACTTATTATTACTTACCTTATTACGTATGTAACGACATTGTCATAAATAATCGACACACCAAGCTCCTACTAAAACTCTTAGCTATAATAGTTAAATTTACTGCAATACTAGTGAAAAATGTCTATCTAATCTAATCCGTGCATTCAAACTACTTATATTTTTAATATTATTGAAATGCTGAATGGCTGAATGGCGGCTTCCACAACGGTACGATAATAAAATTCATAATAATGACATTTACATAACACTTGGACCGTTTCTGAATATTGCGTTTTACATAATATATAAATTTTACACACGGAAATATCACAATTTTTGTAAAAATCGCACACGCACTTTTTTATTATATTACATAATATATAGAAATACGGAATAACTCGGGAAAATAATATTCGAAAATATTCACGTCAATCGTCGATAACGAAAAGGGAGATAAGCGAGCGGCGATGTGAAAATTTAGCGAACGCGCGAGAAGTATTATGATTGGTCGTCATGGAAGAAACGCGGACTTGCTTATTTGCTGCGTCGCGCAAGAAGTAATATTATTGGTCGTCATGGAAGAAACGCGGAATTCCTTATTTGCCGCGTCGCGCCTGGTGGCGAAAAACGGAGACTATTTGTGTTTTATAATATAAGAGATTTATACATATATTAATTAATTTATATATTAATCTGTAATTTCTGTTTAATTAATAATTAATATGAATTTATATAGTTAATAATTAACAATAAGTCTGTTACGCTTACTACAATATGTCATTATTTAAAGAAATAAATTAAAAAAATGTAAGCATTGAATTAGAGTTTGAATATTTGTTTTTAATTACCATTATTTGCCTGTCGTAACGCATAATGCAGTTTTATAAACTTTTTGTATTAAGGGTAGGTATACCTATATTATAATTGCCTCCTAGAATGCAACTAAGAAATATTAATTAACTTAAATAGGTATTTTGGTAAATGGGTGGGTGGGTTGTCAAATATGATTTTCCCTACATATATTTTTATATTTCAGGGCCCCTGGTTTCTTTAACCTTTAATGGTAGGCCTAGAAAATGTATTCATTTTTACATACATTGTCTGGCTAGTTGTCATAATATAGTTTAAAGTTGTTATTCTTAAGAAATACAGTTCATGGTAAATTGATTGATGGTACTGATCCATATCTCAACCTAAAGCACATGATTAATAATTAAGTTATTAATTATAAACAATAAGTTCTTGTCAATAGATTTAATATTTCAATGTTAGAATGTATAGGTAATTTTTATTCTACTAACATAGGTCTAGCTGTGTTGGTCATATAATCATCTTTTGTAAAGTGAATTGAACAACCACTCTAAAAGTAGAGAAATTTTTGTAGGTACATTTTTGCAAAAATTCGAACTTGACCGTCCCACTTGGGCTTTGGTCATCGAGTCTCAACGCATCCACTTCGCTGTGTTGCACCGGGAGTTGTCAGGTGGTAGGTCGTCCGGTTTCGTCTCGAACGTTGGCACGGTTAGCTCCGTTCATTGATCCCGATGGTTATGCACGTAGGCGGTCGGCTACGTCATTCGCTGCTAAGTTACGATTGTAAGACAAGATGTTATTGGCAAAAGGGTCGGTTTTTGTTGTAGGTATTGTTGTGTCGCCGATGGCACTTGTTGACGGGCCATGCTGGCTGCACTTATTGTGCCGACAGTTTTGGGTCGTCTCACTGCGGTCGGTGTTGCATCATGTAGTGACGTCGTGCGCTCAATGTATTAAGGTACGTTTTCTCTGCAGCGTTCAGCCGCGGCGTCTAGAACATTTTACCCTGCGTTTGGCAACAGCACTGCCTCGGCACGGTCTCGGACCAGTGTACCACGTCGAACGCCAGCGACAACATGTCGAAAAAGTTTATTTTTTCGGCTGCTGAAGACAAAATCCCCATAGATGAAATTCAAAAATAAAGTTATTTTTGATAGTTCAGATTTGAACCATAAAGATAAGAATATTAAAGATTCCATATGGACGGAAATAGGGATAAAACTTAACAGAAATAGTTAGTACAAAATAAATTGTATTAATTAATCATTTATATATATTTATATAGTTGATGACTGTAAGAAGAGGGGGAAAGACATGCGTGATACGTACACGAGACAAAAAAAAAAATTGCCTACTGGGTCGGCGGCTTCAGATAAAAAAAAAAATGGCCTTTGATGGAGAATCTATCATTTTTGGACACAGTTGAATATGAAAGAAAGTATGTAAAAAATAGAAACTAGCTAGATATATGTATTTTAAATTACCTATAATTATTATAATTAATTTAAATTAAAAAAAATATTTTAGAACTTCTACAAAATGTTGAAACGCAAAATATTATGTCCAACGATTCATTCAGAGACGAAGAAGACTTAGACACCGTGGACGTGGGGAATGAAAGCAACAGTGAAGCGGAGAAAGTGTCATTTGGAGGGAAACGATTACGGTCTAAAGGTGATAAATTATCGGCAATATTAGCTGAGAGATCAAAAGAACGAAATGAAATGTTATCAAACATCCAAAAATAATTTATTAGCATCACAAAACCCGCAACAAGAGGACGAAGTCGACGTTTTTTTTAAAAGTTTCACCATGTCCGTCAAAAAATCACCTTCACGGGCAATCAACGAAGCTAAACTTCGAGTACTGATAATGGTGAATGAGATTTAAGAAAAATACGTTGTTCCTGATCATACTAAAACAATTCGACCTGATTATATTCTGCATTTAAATATAAACAACATGACACAGTGTCCATCGCCGGCCAACTCTGCTGCATCGAGTTCTTCGTGTGGATTTGTGCAATTCAACCATGATGAATATAAGTAGGTACCTACCATAGAGTAAATGAACAAATGCCTACATATTTGTTTGTTATGTTGTATACTTTATATTTTATAAATTAAAATTCATCGTTATTTTCGTTATTTTTAATTATCATTATTTATTAAAAACTTAAAGCGATTAATATTATTTATTTTTATTATATTTAACTTGTGAGTTTAAAATTAAAACCTTAATTCAAGAACATTTTGGTTATTTATGTTTTTATCTGATATTTATTTTTGTTGTTAGAGGTACCTTACTACCTTAAATAAATGAACACAGTACACACAATATTATCGTAATAATAATAATCGTATATTAATACAAAATATGTATAATTTACATTTTCCCTGGTACAGCTAATATATTTGCAAAATAATCTTTAAAAATATCTCTTACCTTAAATCCTTCGGTATTTATAAATCCACCTTCTCCAGAAAATGACCTCATGTTATTATTTTTAGTTGAACATTCCTGATCAAATTGACAGTATGCTTTTTCGTTATTTTAAAGTTTGCGTCCCGTAACATATTGTGTAAACAACATGTCACAATGATTAAATCATCAACCGTTGTTGGAGCAATTAGTCCAGTCAAGGAATGAGGTCAGGGCCGTAGCAAGGGTGAGGCGACTGAGGCATTTGCCTCGGGCGCCAATGAAATGGGGGCGCTAAACTTTGATACATTTTTTAAATTAAAATATTGTTCTACCAATATAGTACTTAGGGAGCATTCAAAAATGTCTTACTTAAAAAAATATATTTAACTATTCAATTACCTAAACCTAATTGTATTATAAGTTTAATGTATGTACATGTACCTACTATGTTCAGTATCTTTTGCATTTGAAAATTATTCTTCTACTGTTATTATTGTGATTTCATATTGAATATTCTACGAAAACATTGTACGTTGTAACGGAATTGAATTATCGTTATGCAATCAGTCTATTAGTACCTATCTATGGCATATGTGATAAACATTTATTTTGGTAATCCCAGCCGCAGCCGACAACCGCGGCTCCCATAGACCATAGTCCCATTACTCGTCAGTCAAAACACGCTATACACGAACACATGTCACATTTATTATATTTATACTGGCCATCAGTCTGCATTTCTGCAATTATCACTATCACTCTGCACTTATTCAAATATCATATTCTGTTAGCATGCGCCACTCAATTATTCAACTATAACAGTTTAAGTATTAAGTAGACAAGTAGTACAACACTACGACTCAGTACGACACGACACAATCGGACAACCGACTACCTAACCGAACATCCATTTTGTAAGTTGGTAAGTAGTTGTTTATTTTAAACTTAAAAATCTAATGAACTATTATCTATATATATAAAAATGGAGACAAAAATTCGAAATTGCATCAGTTGAGAACGGCTGGTCCGATTTTTGCTCAAATTTTTTTTAAGATGTTCGTAATTGCCAGGTGAAGGTTTTTACGAAAGAAAATTTTTAAAAAGTCAACCGAATAATTAGAAAAACTGCAAAAACTATTTATTGATGTCTGGGATTTGAACTCGATACCGTTGTCTTTATTTACTCTATTGTGTATTATATTATATTGGTTGCTATTGGTTAATCGGGCATGTTTGTTGATTTGTAAATAAATAAATATGTAATTTTTTGTAAATATATCTTATATATAAATGAATGACGGTGTGTAGATTAGACTAATTAGATACGCTAATTTAAAAAGGGTTAAATTTGGTTTATTTTATTCATCGGATTTTAGAACGGTTAGGTTAGGTTAGGATTTATAGGTAGGTGGAATTGTAAAATCGTCAAACTTGGTATAATTTTGGTATTTTATGAGTTAAATCATACACTTACGTACAAACAGCACGGGGTCCGCGATCTACCGCAGGTAAATTACCTATCTGATAATGTACTGCTGCAATTCAGAATTTTTATTCCGGGCAACAGAAAAGTTAAGATAAATCTAGAACATCATACACCGAATATTAAATAACGCATTGAACAATGTTTGAGTCATATAGAGTTGGTACATTTAACGGGAAACGAAGTGCACGGGAATATTGTATGTCTATATATTACATGCTCTTTTAATAATCAAATATATATAATAGTTTAACATTTTACAAATGATGATTTTTTTTTTTGACGGAAGGGGGCGCATATACTCAAACTTGCCTCAGGCGTCAACTGAGCTTGTTACGGCTCTGAATGAGGTGTAGAGTGCGTGAGCAGGTAACTTAGCGATTCCTTCAGAAACTTGTTCGGGGGGCTTAGGGTATTAACATACTAAAAGTCCTGACACCTAGGTGGTGAGCCGGAGGGGGGAGGGGGGGTTAAAGTTGCGCTTTTTGGGTTTTTCGCTTATATCTCGTAAACGGTGCATCGGAGGAAAATTTTTTTAAATAACAAAATAAAGCTCATGAAATTATCTAAAACTTTTATATCATATGTTTTTTTCGAATTCACAACCGTTTTCCAGCTACACCTTCGAAAAAAGTAGAATATTACAAAAAAAACCATTTTACCTCACTATATTCATAAAACAATCCATCATATTGTCTAAACCTATTCATAAACTAAAAATATGCATAGAAAAGAAGTTGTAGATATTTAAATTCACTTTCAGAATATATACACATATATTAATTGTTAATCTCCAAGCTGCCTAAATTTATAGCTATTTTACAACTTTTATAACATTTTGCAATTTTCAGAAAATGTACCTATAGGTATATCATATTCTTGACCCACAACCTTTGTTCGTTTATGTAATAATATATGTGGCCACACTTTTAAGAAGTAAAACAGACAAAAATAATGATAATACACACTTTATTTTACAGATAAGTAGTTCTCAAGTAATTCTTAATTTTACATGCAATCATATTTTCATTTTCTTTGAATTTGAGGGCCCAGGTTGTTCATCCATTGCATCTTTGTCTGTAGTAATGGGTGCCTCTTGCTCTTCATCGTCCTCATCTTCAACAGGCACGCTGTTCATGCATTTACCTTGGCAGTGGAGGCACGCTGCAGAACAAGTCAGCATTGCTTTCCGGCAGCCACTTTTTCCAATCATACAATATCATATCACGGAGCAGGTTTTAGGCATAAATAAAGTCCGATAATGTTAGTCAATAATTAGTTATCTATACACATAAAATCCAAATACCACTGACTCACTGATCGCTGTATCTCAAAACCTACTCAACGTACGGACTTGAAATTTGGAATAGAGGTTCTTCTCATATTTTCACCGTGCAATAAGAAAGGATTTGCGAAAATTCGCATTTTAAATAGGTGCTCAAACAGGGACATTGAGATTCACGATGGAAATTGGAAATTTTATTTTTATTTATTAATAGTTGCCATTGGTTACAGTCTACAGTAGAAATTAGCATTTATTTATTGGTTGTCATTGGTTATTCGGGCAGATCATTTACAAGCTTGCATCAAATCGAAATATTGAACATTGCCTACCAAGGTGGCTGAGTTGCACTTACCGCAGCAAGTTACACCCAAGGAGTTCAACAATCATAATTTTTTTAAGAGTTGCGATTTTTTACGAGCAACCAAATTTGTTATATTAATCCACCGTATTATATCAAAATAAACTTGGTATAACTTTGATATTTTAGAGTTAAATCATACACTTCCGTATAAACAGCACGGGGTCCGCGATCTACCCGATAATGTACTGCTGCGATTCAGAATTTTTATTAAGGGCAACGGAAAAGATAAGATAAATTTTGAACACCATACACCGAATATTGAATAACGAATTGAACAAAGTTTGAGTCATATTGAGTTGATACATTTATCGGGAGACGAAGTACAAGGGGATCAGCTAGTAATATTATATAGACATACGGGTAACGGAATGACAAGTTGAACACTCGAACATTTCCAAATATTTACTATTATATATTTATATCTATATTTATTACTAGCCAACAATATTATAGTCTATCATTAAGTTTATAATCGCTATTAATATTTTTAGAAGTTGGATGGAAATTATGATTTTATGAACAAATGGTGATGTAGTTTAAATTTATATAAGTAATAAGTAGAATATGTAATATAATATGTTGTATAACATTTTTATTGCAAGAATAAATTGAAAAAAAATTAAAAACTCAATTTATGCATATATTAATTTTTTAATAAACACAAATGCCCTAATCTAGATGTTTTTTGAGGGAGGGTCATCCAAGGAAAGGGGTGGCAGAGTAAAAAATGAAAAAAACGAATATGGTAGATAATATGATGGATTGTTTTATGAATATAGTGAGGTAAAATGGTTTTTTTTGTAATATTCTACTTTTTTCGAAGGTGTAGCTGGAAAACGGTT